CTCAAGTCCACATCTTGTACAGCAATTAACCACTAAGAAGAATATATGCAGTGTATTATTTGTTGAAACTGTACTTCCGATTTGATTTGAAACTGTATCATTGCTATCTGTTTATCAATAAAACTTTGAAAAAAAACAGTTGTGCTTTTATATTCAAATCCAGTGAGAACTGAATCTTGACTTTAAGTGATTAATTGAAATTTCTGCAAAGTAAATTTTGGAAAACTGATCAATGCAATAATCAGATTTTTAGTGGTTCAGGTAAAAAGAGGACTTGGTTTGGCAAAATGGGGAGTATATGCACAAAGCAGATTATTACAAAATGTTTACTAGAAAATAAGGAGAGCAATCAGATATGGGCAGAAAACAAAGTACATTTTTGATCAGGTATTAATTTTTTGATTTGGAAACACCTGAAAGGACATTAATAGAGAGACATCATTAAAGTCCTAATTTGGCCTTATCATAATTGCTCACCTCTTCAGCTTCTACACATATATGTTGATCATTTCTATTCTATCCACATTTTGGAAAAGGTCTACTGGTATAGGGTAGGAGTATACTGCCTGCAAGACAGAACTATATATTGCCTCTAAGGACATACACAAAATGAAAACAAAAGGATGAAAAATAAAATTCCAAGCAGTTGGAGTCTGGAAGCAAGCAGGAGTAGGAATCTTTACATGTGACAAAGTAGATTTCAAGCTAAAGTGGAAGCACACAAAATTGCCCAAAAGAAAAAAAAAAATCGATAGCTTTCCTATACACCAAAAATGAACCCATTGAAAAAGAAATTAGGAAAACAATTCCACTCATAGTAGCTTAATAAAACATAAAATACATAAGAATCAATCTACTCAAGAAGGTGAATGTCCTTTGACACAGAAATTACAAAATACTGAAGGAAGAAATTGAAGATGACAGTAGAAAATGTAAATATCTGCCTTGTTCATGAGTTAACAGAAAACACTGTTAAGATGGTCATATTACCCAAACTAAATGCAATCTCTACTAAAATGTAAATGACATCCTCAGAAGTAGAAAAATAATCCTAAAATTCATATGGAATCACAATATATCCAGAATAGCCAAAGCAATCCTGAGAAAAAAGAGCAAAGCTGAGTGCCTCAAAACACCCAACTTCAGCTTACATTACAAAGCCAAAGTAGCAAAACTAACATGACACTGGCACAAAGTCAGACATGTGGAGCAATGACACAAAGCAGAAGATGTGGAAAGAAGCACGCATCTACAGCTGTCTGATTTTTGACAAAGAAGCCAAAAACATAGTGGAGAAAAGACAGCTTATTTAACAAAATAGTTCTGAGAAAATTGAATATTTTCCTGTAAAAGAATAAAAGTAGATTCCTATCTCCTATCCTGTTCTAAAATCAAAGAAAAATATATTAAAGACCTAGTTATAATAACAGAAATATTTGAATTGCCTGAAGAAAACTTAGGGAAACACTTGAAGCTATAGGTGCAAAGATTTCCGGAATAGAACTACCAAGTCACAAGAAATAATATCACGAATCAACAAAGAGATTGCATTAAGATATCAACAAACACATTGGAGTTTTTAAAACTTCTACATAAAAAAGAGAACAGAACAGCAAAAACACAACCTACAGAGTGAGAGAAAATCTTTCCTCACCACTCTTCTGATAGAGGATTAATATCTAGAGTATATAAGGAAACCAAAACATTAACCACCAAAAAGCAAATAACTTGCTCAGCAAATGGTGAAATGAACTGAACAAACATCAAAGGAAGAAGTACCAATGGCTGACAAGCACATGAAAAAATGTTTGATATCTCTAGCTATCAGGGAAATGCAAATTGAAACTGCAGTCACACTCATCCTCCAGCCAGCAGAGGGCAGCAGGCTGATTCTGCACCTCAGCACACACTGGTAGAACTCAGATCAGTATTGGGAAAGGCTGGGTTTCCTGCACAGGATCAGCCTGTAGATGCAAATTATGCCTGCAGCCTATCAAAGAGAGTCAGTGACGATAATATTAACGTTTAGAGAACCAACCCCTTATCAATATATGAGTTAAGACTTACTTAAAGGTGCTCTATTATTTCACTAACACAGGACAAGAAAGGAATAATCATAATGTAGAATAAGTTAAAAAGAAAAAGAAAGTAAACATAAGCATTAATTATAATATTTATAGATAAGAAAAAAGGGGAGGGAGGAGAGGTTTGAGATGCAAAGGAAATATAATGGAAAGGTAAGACAAAAGACATGGAGATTAAATTTTTTTTCCAAAGTTTTATTGATAAACAGCAATCAGACAGTTCCAAATCAAATCGGAAGTACAGTTTCAACAAATAATACACTGCATATATTCTTCTTAGTGGTTAATTGCTGTACAAGATGCGGACTTGTGATCCTATTTACAAACACCATTAGAACAAATCATTCTATTCAATAAGAGAATGCAACCATATATCTATCCCAACCACTTTGAATACACAGATACAAAATGGGCATTCATCGGTATACCCCATTTTTTCTAAGTTCTGTTATTGAATATTATAGGTGTGTAAACTCAGCAAAATATTCTAAAAGAATCCAGTAGCCCATAATAGCATTGGGTATGGAGATTAAATTTAACTAATGAGTTAACAGGAAGGTTAAGTTAGAAAAGCATATGAAACAAGTCTTGATGTGGGAAAACATGACAAAATAAGCTAGAATGGTGCAGAAGCAAAAATAATAATACACAGACACACACGGGTCCAATATCTTCCTTGTAGGGATATTTATAATGGATAAAATTATTTACCCTAGATTTATATTTTTAGTTGCTGCCTGATAAACAGAAAGTGTGAAATAATTCTTCATGGTTCAAAGTTTTTCTCAGCCCAGCAGGAAAAACTGTTTAGCAAGTTCTGGAGGTGGAGCCATGCCTCTCCCTGGTCATACATGAATACTAACGAAAGGTTGTCAGCAGAAAGACTAGAACACACTTCATTTTTTCCACACCTAGGATTGAGGTTGCAGGAAATAGTTGGATTTTTACCAAACTTCTCCCATCTAGAGTCCTTGCGTAGGTCTGGATTATGGGCCAAAGTTCAGGGAATGACCAGACCATGCTCTTGGCAGTGTGGATGGCCCGTGGCTGCACTGCTGTATTTATCCTGAATGTCTGTGAGCAGGGAGAGGCAGCTGCTGGCCCAGGGGCTGTTCCGGGATAAGAAGCTATGAGTGTCTGGCTCTATGCTTAGACTCCCTCTTCACCTGCATGAAACTTCATGCAGCAGAGCTCTTCTGTCACCATGTTCAGGCTACTATTGTTTTCCTTCCTGGCCTTCTCCTTTTGAAATCTATTTATTGATTTTAATTTACTAACTTTACATTCCCCTCTGACTGGATGATTGCATTTGCTGCAAGCTAGACTTCGAGATGGCTGCAGCCTGGGATTCAGTCTCATGAGATCTATGTATTGGGTCATTTCCCTTCATCTTGAAAGTTTAGCTTTTCTGTGTCATAGTCACCCAAGCTAACACCTAGGGACAACACTCACTAGCTTCTTGGAGAGAAGAGGCCATTACATCCTGGAGCTGTAAAGACAAAAAGTGGGTTTTTTTCTGATCTTCCATGTTGCCTACCAAGGCAGAGGAAGTGACAGAAGATGGCTTCCCACCCCAGTCTTGTTTAATTCCCTCTGTTTGTTCCACAGAGATAGACAGAACTTCTAAGATGGCTTTCCAACTTGACACTAAGTCCACAGAGAAATGCTGGGAATTATACTTCCATTCCACTTTAGCTGCCTGAACTCAGGACACCTTTCTGTTCAGTCTGCGTATCTGTCCTAGTGATTTCCAGTGGTTTCTCTATCTCCTAACAGAGCCAAGTACCTATTGATATAGACAAATAGCCCAGAGTAGGATTTCAGTGATGCTTGACTCTAGTCCACCAAGACAGAATATTTCTCTAGATTTGAGTATATTTAAACACAAAAACAATAAATATCCTTTACACTTCGGATCAAGAAACAGGTAGCTCTAGTTCAGAATAACTCCATATTTGGCTCTTTCATTGGTGAAACGTATCAAGGTATAAACGGATACCTTGATAGATACATGGGGGACACATTTTTCAAAGGGGTAATTTAACTTGTCATTCTATGAATTTCACTGATGATCAAATAAACAGAATGATACTTCATTTGTTATTTAAATAAGACGAAAAGCTCCATGTTCTTTCGTTTTGAAACTCAGCTTAAGACACTCAGCAACATACAGAAGGCCTTCAGTGGTATGATGGGTTAGCATCCAGTATTTATATACGAATACACAGAAACATCAAACATTAAATTCTCACTGTAAAATATATGGTAAATATTTTGACTAAAATGGGAACAAAATCAGCTTACTACCATTCCCTTACTATAATACTTATTCTATGACATTTATGAGTTAGGCCATATTTTAAATTTTTATTATTTTTTGACAATGAACTGCACATATTTAAAGTACTAAATTGACACATTTTGACATATTATATCATATTAATCAATTTTTGTTGGTAATAACACAATACCTGAAACTGGGTAAGTTATAAAGAAAAGAAGCTGATTTTGCTTCATGCATTTGGAGGAAAAGTTTAGGGATGGATTTTCTTGTTGGCAGAGTCCTGAGAAAATGTATGGATAATCCCAGTTGATAGAACTAACCTGTCCTGCCATTTCAGGAGCAATGGGGATGGTGGGCCAGAAGTGGGAGTAAATTGTGAAGCACACAAACCAGATGATTATGCTTCCCCAGATTGCCAGATGACTAAACTGCAGAAAGAAAAGCATCACAGAAACACGTCAGTCTTTTATATCTAAAAGGAAAAAAAAATTTACCTCTATCAAAATACTTAACAAAATACATTTTTCCAGGTGTTATTATTTCATATAAGCATATTTATAAACTTTCAACTGTTCAATATCTGAAGTTCTTTCCAATGTCTCTCTTAACATAGTTCATTGTGGATCCAGGAAACCATTGTTTAAAGTGTCTCAACAGTGTCTTGGTCAACCAAGCCAGCACACTGTGCATCTTCACTAGAAATGTCAAGTCTCTTTCAGAAATGATTCATACTATTGATGGAGTATGAAATGCATATGCAGAGTGCTTTCAGCCCACTTATCCAAGCTTTCTGATGAAAATAAGGCTTCAACAGAAATAATTAGGAAAGGGGCCAGAGAGATGGCTCAGTAGAATAAGCACTTCCCTGGCAAGGGCAAGGGCCTGAGTTCAATCCCTGGTTCTGGAAAAAAAAAAAAAAAAGAAAAAAAGAAAAAAATAATTAGGAAAAATAAAGGTTTACTTGAGCCACAATTGTTCTAAATAATAGTTCCTTCAATGAAAGGAATCTTAGACTGATGAAACTATGCATGTGACTGATGGAGACGGTCAACTGAAAGAGCACAGCTCATGTCTGGGTCAAGATATTCTTGTACACAATTCTATAATAGTAAATACTAAAAAAATGAGACCCTTCTGCTGATCTGATGTGTTGCTTTTTGTTAGCATAGTACATTAGCAGAAGAGTGAAAAAAAAGAAACCCCGGGGAACCATATGCTGTAAACTTTTGGACATGCTGGGTACAAATTTAAAATGCTTATGTACAGTAAAGCAATTAGATAAACTAGATGATTCAATAGGTCTTTAGTGTTTTTATTGTGCTAGATACTAACTTAAGTACATCTGAACAACAAATATAATGGGGCAGGGGGAATAATGTGGTATTTCTCAAAGAATGTGTTAGGGGCCGGGTAGATGGCTCAGTAGAGTAAGTGTTTCCCTGGCAAGCGCAACGGCCTGAGTTCAATCCCTGGTTCTGAAAAAAAAAAGAATGTTTTAACCCTCATGGGCGGTGGGGAACAGGTTCATGGGCCAGTGTGGGCCAGAAGAGAGACTTCTGATTTTTGCTAAGTCTGCTTTGGACTTGAAATAAATCAATAAACAAATATTTGTTTATCAATCAATAAATGAGATTCACTAAATACACTATAAGTAATCCTGGATGTGAGAAATATTCTTAGAGGAAACTTAATAAACAGAAGCAAAAACAAAATAATTCATCTCATATTAAGATGGTATAAAGCCATACTTATAATTTGTATGTCCAATGAGTTGCTATTAAAATGTTTTTGTTTGGAACTGAACACTGACATCAACTTGACAAGACTATAGCAGGAAGAACCCTATATTGATTGCATCAGAGGACCAATATCTTTTGAGATATTTGGATGACAAGTTAATAATACAATTTTTATCCTCTCATAAACTCAATTTTGTTTTTCAATGCTGACGATCAAACCCCAGGGCCTGAAGGATGCTTAGCAAGTGCTCTACCACTGATCTACAACCCCAGCCTCTCTCTAATAGTTTTTTGAGTACTAATTAAAGAAGATTCATTTATAAATGTTCATGTATGTTTGTATATATGTGTATACATATTCACTGAAATTATTCATAAATTGATAGAAATAAAATTCTGCTTAACTCATCAGAGTCCTATTTTTAATAATAACCTGAGAAAATTATTGTTCAGGTGTAGAAATACACAGGAACGTACATACTTATGCATTTATTATTCATAACAATATCACTTACATAGTTTTTATATCAGCAAATGTTAAAATTATTTGAAGATAATGTAAATAGATTTAATAAAACTCTGGTTATACTAAGAAAAGTTAATATAAATAACAAACATCTATATTATGAAATATGATAGTCATTAAGTGAAATGTGAAAACAAATGGAAAAATGTTTAGGATCTATTATTAACTGAGAAAATTAAGGAACATTATGACCCTATTTTTTGGTTTTGTTTTTAATTTTATCTTATTCTTTTTTGTTTGTTTGTTTGTTTGTTTGTTTGGCAGAACTGGGAGTTGAACTCAGGCCCTTGTGCTTGCCAGGGATGCGTTTATTCCACTGTGCCATCCTCCCTGCCCCTTATTTTTGTTTTTTTTTTAAAAGTATATAGAGATCAAAGACATTATAATGTCACTATCATTCATATTGCTGTACATGGACTATGTATATTTCCTTCTTGTTGTGTGTTAGCTGAATTTTCTGTTATAATTTTGTACTTAGAAAATAATAGTAAGTGAAGTATCTGAGTTAATGGAATTCTAGGTTGAGTCTATTTCAAATAATAGGAAATAAGAAAAATAATATCTGAAAACATTAAATACATAATTTGAGAGCTTGTTTGGAGCTTCTAGCAGGAGAGTGCAGCTACTCGTACACCTTTGATCAAGGAATGATTCTCCTCTATCTGGGGTGTTTGTCCTCTTTGACCAAGCATGCAGCTTCAGGAAAGACACACATGGAGTACTGAGGGAGGAAGGGGCCACCTGCCTAGCCAGCCAGAGCAACCAAGTCAATCCTGGCCATCAGTGGAGTGAGAGATGTCGCAGCCAGATGACCCTTATGTCCATGTACCTAATTTCTTTAACCAATTTAAATTATCACTTACATTTACAAAACCAGATGAAGTGTGGAGACCACAAAAAAGATTATCATTTTTCTGAAACTTAAATAAAAAATATAACACACGACTACAGTGGATGGAGGGAAAGTTCTGTAGTATACTCACTTTCGTCCAAAACATGGTCTCCAACCCAGCTTTCAGACAAACAGTTACAACTACATACTATGAGAAGATGGGAAAGAGAAAGAAATTCAAAAATCTGTTAAAATTTTCCACTAGAATCCAGGCCTCCCAAAGCGCTCCCAAGCCTCTATCCTGAACCCCTGCCAAGCCAAAGGCCTCTGTTGTCATTAAGTTCTAAGCGTTCTGCTGCATGATAATTCTGGAGTATGTAGCTTTGAAAATTTATCTCCTATTTTTAGAAACCCTTTAACATACAACTCAAATCAATATTTATATTATAAGCACTTTCATTTATTTTTCTTCTCCCAAGAAATCTGAGTGCTGCAGATAAAAATAAATACAATTGAGCAAAGTAAATTGAAATCATTATTATCCAGAGAATCTTCACTTATTCTAGGCTTATTCTAGCCCTTTAGTACTTTGCAAAAATCTCTACAGTTTTTCACTGGAATTACAACAGACTTGTAGACCATTTTCAGGAAAATTGAATAGAACTGGATTTTCTTTCAATGGACAGGTTATGTTTTCTATTTAGAAGTTTTTAATGTCTTCAATTAAGGTTTTATAATTTCTATCTGAAATTCTGAGGTTCTAAAAATCATTCGTTAGATTTATTCATGTTTAATGTTATTGTAAAATGATATTTAAGACTTTTCAGTTTTGAAATATTTGTTGGTGGCATGCTAAGATATAATTAATCTTAAAATATTGATCATTATGTGGCAATCTGTCAATTTCCTTTATTATTTATAATATTTTATCTATAGATTCATTTTTATATTTGTTGTGTACCATCATATCATCTAACATTTAAAACAGATTTCTTTTCCTTTCCCATGATTACACTTCTTGTTTTATCTTATCATACTGTTTCGAATTGTAAGTGTGGTACAACATTGAAGAGAGGCGTTAATACAAAACGTCTTCGTCTCGGTGCCAGTCTCGGATAACATGACTTGGTTGCGGGGTGGGTTCCTGTGCAGCATCAGGTGTGGGATCCACTGAATATACTAAATCTTACTTTTGCAGTGGTCTTTGATTATGTCTACTTTTTAATCTCCAGTGTCCAACCAGAGGTGCATTGCCAACCATTGGCCTTGCCCATCTCTCAAAGTTCTTTTTTGCCATTATTCCCGCCTCCCTGCCTAACACAGTTTACTCCGCACTCTTCTTCCACAGCTTCTTCTAATCTCCTGAAAGCATCAGGGTAGACTTCACCTTGCTCAAGGCTTTGCCTTTTATGGTGGAGACTGTTGCTGCCCGTGTGATCCTCCTCCAATTCCCTACATTTAGGATTAGCATATCAGGAATGAGGTTTAGTAATTCCACCTGCTGATGCTGTTTGTATTTGTCCATTAGCATAACATTTTGAGGATTTTACGACTGATCCAATCTCTTTTCTTTTTTACAGTGAATAATCTTGCTGGGATTTTGTTGCTGCTTACTCTGGATACACTAGTCAAGCCTTGAGAGGTTGAGATTCTCTGGGATCAATTACTCTGGCATCTTAACTTGGAATCTCCTGTATGTACTACATACATGTATATTTTAAATTCTCCATGTTTAAAATCCTTTAGCATCTGATTAAAATTGATGCTTATTCAGACACTTTTATATTTACATGTAGTATAAACAGCATAGAATATTTAATTCTACCTCAAAATCTAAGAACTACCCCCATAGAACATTTCGAGAAGATTCTGTTGGGTTTGCTATCATATGTTTTGCATGTGGCAGTTCTCAGTAAATATCTATGAGCAGATAAAACAAACAAAAGTTCTATCTGATCCTACTATTTTTTCTGGGGTTGATGAGGTGGGGAAATTTGAGAAGAAACAAACTTACTTTATGCCCATGTTGAAGTGAGTAGGAAAACTCTACCTAGCCACATGTTGTGTTCAGTACTATTTCAGTTACTCTTCTCTCACTGCTGGGGCAAATATGCAACACTCAAAATTAGGGAAGGAAAAGTTTATTTAGCTCAAAGTTACTGGAGGCTTCAGTCCATACTCAGCTGGCTCCAAGGCAGAGAGCAACCTTTCATGGTGGTGGCAGCAAAGAGCAGAGAGCAGGAGCAAATGGGAGTAATGGCAACAGAGAGCAAGTCTGTCTCCCTCAAGTTGCTCTCAGGCTCTCTGCCCCAGGCTGCGTGGAGCACTCACCCATGATCCCTGCAGCACCCACTACCACGATCCCAATGGATCATGAGTTAATCACAAACTCTAGAAGCCTGTCCCATGACTGCATGAGGCTTTGGAAGAACAACTACACACAAGCCATAACAAGTACTACAAAAAACAGTACGAAAAGCACAAGTGAAATAAGTGAGCAGCTAAAGTGAAGACAAGCAACATGTCAATAATTTTTGTCTTTATAGAGGAAAACTTGGGAAAATTCTTCATGATACGTTGTTAATTTTTTTAAACACCCAAAATGCAGAGGACAATGTTTCTACTTGCATACAAATAAAACCCCACATAATTGAAGATGTAATTGTAATTTTTAAATTATGGGTAAGGAACTATAACAGTTTTAGACACAAACCTTAGAGGTCAAAAATATTTGAAGATAACAATATGAAATATAACAATAATTGCTAATTTCTTATCATCTTGTTTTGAAATTCTGTATTTTCATTGTTTTTAAAATTCTCTTTAAAATAAAAAAATTCAACTACATAAAGTTGATATGCAGAAAATATATTGACATAAAAAATGGGAAACTGGAAAAATATTTTTGCAATAAGTATGAGAAAAAATTAGCATCTTTAACATATAAATAATTACTAATGAGTAGTAAAAGGCTAAGAACCCAATAGAATAAAGTAAATAAGTAGCTCACAGAAAAGAATATGGACATGGTTTATAACCTTAGACAAATATGATTACTCTTCACAGCAAAGGCTTTAATATGTCACTATGTCACCCACTGGCTCAAAAGTATGATGAGATCACACTACCCATCTGGGCATGGAGAAATGGGACAGTGTCATCAGTAGATCTATGCATCCTTTATTGGAGGAACAGTTGGTAATGTCTTTCAAAATTCATGATATCCTCCACTCCAGTAATTTTGCTTCTAGGAATTTATCCTACAGATATACTTACTTATAAACATACTTACTTCAATATCGCTTATAATATTAAAGGACTGAAAACAACCATAGTATTCTAAGAGGAGACTGACTAAATCATAAAGATGAGTTAAAGCATAAAAGCAGCCCTGAAACTATGAGGTACATATTTATGGGCTGATTTGAAATCATCATTAAAGCACATTATGGAGTGAAAATAGATGCTGCAGCACATTCTCTACTTGTTAACAAAAAGAGGACATGGGTAACATACACTTGTATATAAATTCTGTGGACATTTGTAGAAATATTCATATATATATGCATATATATATTGCATACATATATAGGCAATTGCTTCAGGCGGTTTTCTTAGAAATGTATCAAAGTTTGAGAATTTTATAACTGAAACAGTACTGAACACAACATGTGGCCCAGGTAATGTTTTCTTACATAGTTGAACATAATGTAATGTTTAATTTACTTTTTCAGTTAGAAACAAGGACGACTAATTTAATGCACATGGATGATCTTACCGTATAAATAAAGTTTCCAAGAAACAAATAGTCTGTAGTGAAACCATGTTGTAAAACCATATCTGAAAAATGAAAAAATAATTTTTAAATATTTACAGAATCTATTCTTGATTCATACTGGCCACCAAAGAATGTTTACCAGTGATTTGGCATATATCTAGACTGCTCTTCAAAGACAGCAATGCCTGTCTTACTGGTCACAATTGTGACCTTTTCCCCCATTTCTTACCCTCCCACAGACATACCAAGCAGCAAACAAATAGACAAATCACAAGGATAACATGAATGTTATTATTAAATGCAGTTTCACCTGCACTAAACCACTGACAGAGCCCATACGATAAAAGTCCACACATCCTAGGAGGTGATGCTGGGTGATGAGAAATTTTACCAATTTTGTTATCATGCTTTTCATACTATCTTCTTCTAACATTACTAAGATAATAAACTTAATATTTTGAAATAATGACAGAATTCTATAATTCTTTTCATCTGTTGATGAATCTGCTAAAAATAACTTATGAATTTTATTCTATATGAAATGTAAGTCTTAAGATTAGAGATTTTTTTCAGATCTTCTTTACTTTTTTTTAGATTCTTAAATACATATTATTGGCATTTTATTCTGGGTGATATGAAAATATTGGAGTGTAAATTCCTAATCCAAATACCAACTCAGTCTTCTTGTGTATTTGAACTTAAGTATTGCTTTTCTCTAGAGATAGAATCTGCTAAAATACTGAAGGTTTAATACACTTTCCTAAAACCATATGCTGTGGGACATTTAGGGCATCCTATTGAAGAAAATGTGAGTTATTTTATACCAATGAAGAGAAAGACATAGTTCCAGATTGTGCATTACCAATATTTTGTAAGATAGTACAGAATGAGAACAAGTAACCAGAAAAGGAAAGAAATGCACTGCATAGGAAGGTAATACTGAATTTTACCGTTGAGAAATGTATTCACAGAGAGGACAGAGAAATTAAAAATGACTTTGGAATAAAAGGAAAACTTCCAGTATGAACATCGCAGTGTGAAGCAGAAATTCCTTTCCCTTTAGATATTGCACAAACTCAATAATATAGAGAAGACTGCACAAAATTGATGTCAGGGAAACAAGGAGACAAAAAACATCTACAGGGTCACAAGCTAATGAGGTGCCAAAGCAGCGGAGGCAAGTGTAGAAGGTAAGCTTGCTACTTAGTATAAGAGATCTCTGTGCAAATATCAAGCTGGCTTAGGAGAGCAGCTCTGAGCAACAGCTAATATTCCTTAGAAGAACCCTTTCCACCTTTCTAGGACAGAAATTCTGACTACTCCCATGACTAACAATACAAGGAAAGTAAGCACAAAACCCATAAAATGCAACTATAGAAAAAAAAAAGCAGGATGTTCTATTTTAGGATTTTTGTGGTTATTTCTCATTATACTATAAATTTATGTCATATGTGTATGTTTTTAAATAGATTAAATCAACTGAATAGAAAAAAGTAGCACAAGTTATCAGATGAAGAATATTCATGAGGATTTTACAACAAAACCCTACTCTAATGAGCCATAAAAGGAAATGATGAGAGAAGCTGGAGTAATGTGAACATGCACCGTATTTGACTGTAGCCATAACAATGAAAAGCAAAAACAAATGTGGTGACAGGATCACAAATCTGCTCATGATAATCCTATGCCCATACAGGGTGCGGCTGGTGCAATTTACATCATACACACAACTACCAGCAAAACAGGAAACAGAGTAAGCTTGCAGAAGGGCTCAGCAAGTCAATAAAGCACACTTGGAGCTATCAAGTCAAGCCCTGGAGCTGTGAGTGCATTTACGGTGCAAATACATGCCATGTGCCTGATAGTGGGGAGCTGGAGGAAAGGAGAGGGAAAAGAAGAATATGATACTCACATTATTATTCCTGTGAGGAAACTAATGAATATGAGGAAACAGAACAGTGTTTACATAACATAATAAAAAATAAACTACAACACAAAAAAATCAAACCTTCTTGGGCATCAGAAGACTATGACAATAAGCAAGCAAGCCAACTACACAAAGGTTAGAAAAAACACATCAAACTAAGATGTAGAAAGTCAAAAGAAACCTATTAAAGAATTTCTATTTTTTAAAATGAGTTTTAGATCAAATCTCCAAATAAAACTTGACTCAAGGGCTCGGGAAATAGCCCAGTGGAATAAGTGCACATGGTCCTGAGTTCAATCCCCGTTACAACCAAAACAAACAAACAAACAAACAAAGCAACTTGACTCAATGCTGTGTGCAAGCAGTATACCTAAAAAAAGGCAATACATAGAGTTGAAAAACAAAGGAGGTACACAAATTAAAAACCTGAGACAAAATATCAAAATTGTGGAGAAACAGGATAAAAACAAATCAGTCAATAAAGGACACTGTGTAAAGCTAAATGCACAAAATTCAAGGGGTACATGAAGTAGAAATATTTGTGCAACAAATTAAAAAATAACTCTAAATCATGAAGTATGAGAAATACAGAGGAAAATACATGAAAGCAAAAGATGATCATCTTTCTCAGTCCATAACAGATCAAGCAACAGGAAGTAAAACTGACATCCATAGTACAGTTGTCTAATTCATCCTATTTACATACATAGTTATATCTTTTTCTTTCACTGCATTTCCTGTCCTCCTCAAATGAACAATTCTTTCTTTTTGATCAGGTTCATTCCCTTTTCTGACTATCTATTATATCCTTCAGATTTTATTTTATCTTCCAGGTTTTCACACTAAGGAGACAATATAATGTTTGCACATGGAGGTCTGATTTATTTCACTTAAGAGTATGGTCTCTAGTTGCATCCATTTACCAATAACAGCCTAAAATTTATCCTGTTTTGTAGATGAATCATGTAAAACTACCACATTTTTTATCCATTCCTCAGTTGATGGGTATTTGGGTTGTTTCCAAGATTTAGCTATTATTATGGTTTGTATCTAGTTGCCCCCCCCCAAAGCCTCAAGCTGCCATGGGGTGGTTTCTGTAGTTTGTGATTGATTCTTAATCCAATGCTGGGATCAAGGGTGTGAGTGCACTGGGGCACATACTCTGCATTACAATGTAAGGAAGAGAGAGTGGCTAGCTAGCTGCCTGAGTTGCTTCTACTCCTTTTGCTCTCTTGTTCTTTGCCACCACCATGAATGGTTGCTCTCTGTCATGTGCCACTCTGCCTTGGAGCCAGCTGAGTGTGGACTGAAACCTCTGCTGACTGTGAGCTAAACAAATCTTCCCTTCCTTCAATTTGGGTCTTGGTTATTTGTCTCAGAAATAAGAGCAGAGTAACTGAGACAGCTATGGCAAATGGCGCTGAAAACATGGATGCACATATATTGCTATAGTATGAGATTTTCAGTTCTTCTGGAAAAATACCTAGGAGATGAACAGCTGGGTTGAATGGGACCTCCAATCCTAGCTTTTTAAGGTATCTCCACACTGACTGCCACAGTGGTTCTGCCAGTTTGCACTCCCACCAACAGTGCAGAAGAGTTCCTTTTTCTCCACAGCCTATCCAGTATTTGTTATTGGCTAACTTCTTGATGTTAGCCATTCTTTCTGGGATGAGATGAAATCTCAGTGTTGTTTTAATTTGCATTTCTTGAATGAACAGTGATGTTGAATTTTTTTATATATATTTACCTGCCATTTGTATTTCTTCAGTTGAAAAGTGTATATTCATCTCAGATGCTCATTCCTGGTCTTTGAATTTGGGAGTTCCGATTTTTAAAAATTCTTTATATGTTCTAGATAGAAGGCTTTTGTCAGAGGGACAGTCAGCTATAATTTTTTCCCAGTTTGTTGGTTTTCCTTTTACTCTACTGGAGATTTGCTTAGAAGTGCAGAAACTTTTCAAAAAGATGAGATCCCGGGTGTTTCTTCTTTGAAGTATTTTCCATGCAGTTTGTTTTTTTGTTTATGAACTATCTACCCCTACATATTTAATATTTCTACCTACATTTACCTCCAGAAGATTTAGTGTTTCTGCTTTAATGTTTAAATCTTTGATCTATTTTGACTGTAATTTAGTGCATGTGATAGACATGGATCTAATTTTATTATTATTATTTTTTGTATTTAAGGGGAAGGGTCTACAGGGTGTTCAGGGTCTCACCACTAGACTGGACTCAGTGATTCTCCTGTTTACAGCCTCCCAAGTGCTGGGATTACAGGTGCACACCACCATGCCCAGTCTCAATTGCCATCTAAGTGCACCAACATGGGGCCAACATGGCAGGCCCAGGATCAAACCCCCAGTCTCTGTGACTACTTGCAGGTGCTTTAATCTGCTCAGCTATTTGGCCAGCCCTCGTACCTTGAGACAATAGTAGGACCATTGGATAGACAGGGAGAGCTCAAAGATAGTACAACAATTTTGCTGAGTTAGTGAGATAGAAATTTGAATTTTAGAGAAGCAAACATGGCTCAAATCTGCTGAACACTATATGTAAACTATATAATGACCCCTAGAAATCCACATGTTACCTGAATAGTAATTTACCCATATTCACTAAGCAATTTCCCAAGGCAACAAAAAGCACTATCACAGAAAAAGAAATTATTATAGAAGTGCAAGATACAACTATGCTAGATCTAATATAGATCAAAGAACCACTCACATTTTCATAGTCAAAGGAAAAAGACTATTCAGTATATGAAACATTTAGTAGCAGTCCCAAAGAAAATGGATTACCTTGTTAGAGGAACTAAATTAATATAAATGATACCTAATACTATCTTGAAAAGGAATAAAAACAAAATCTTGAACAGATATGAAAAGTGCTCAGCAATATAAAATTTATAATGCCCATCATGCATAATATATAAAATTATGACATGTGAAGAAATAAAATCTTTGAGCCATAAGCAGTAGAAAATTGGCAACAGAAGCCAATGTTAAAATTAGTGGAACAGAGCCCAAGCCCAGGCCTGGCAAGTGTGTGTGAGAGCTTCAGGCTCAATGTGCCAGTGGGAACTCTCCTGATCAAACCCAGGCATGCCATGTGAATGAGACCCTCTGCCGTGCC